ACGCACACACACACACACACAACCCCCCTAACTGAGGTGCTCAAAGTGGTCAAAGCCTTTTAATCCAGTGTTAAATAAAGGGATAAAGTGAACTTAGTTCTGATTGATAAAAAAAAAGTGGAATTTTAAAGGTTTGAAGAATCTCAACCAAGGTAAATAAATCAAAATTCCCAGTCGATGATGTCATCAGGACCTACAGATGAAAGCAGCTCCATTAAACACAGATAGCACCAGTATTCTATAGCTGCACACGAAAAGTCCACTTTTACAAAATAGATAAATTGCACCGAATGATTCTGAATCAACATGAAATACCCAGTTTTTGCAACGACCCAGTTCCTGGCAGCTCCATCATCACCTACGCAAACAAACACACACGGAGTTACCTAACATGTTCACACACACACGTCAGTATAAAAGTGCACATCCAGCTCCTGCACATCTACTTCTCCACAGTGACGCTCATCCGGACCACGACATGGACCTGTTCACCGGGCTACTGCTTCTGTGCTCAGCACTCGCTCTCGTGAGCGGAGCACCAGCGTGAGTATCGATCATCTCACTGCTATTATCACTTCAAATGAGTCGTTTAGATCGGAGGGCTTCATGCATGATGTTTGAAGAGTATCCACAACTCATGTGAAATACTTTCTCACTGGATTTAGTTTCTCACATATTTTCCGGTTCTGTAGGTGAAACAGCAACACACATGCAAATATACATAAAGGGGCAGAAAACAAAACATGTTGTGAAAGAGATGTTTTGTGAAGACGTAATGTTTTTGTGGCTTTAGTTTTGGAGTCATTTACATTAAAACATCGAGCGGCCTGATTATTTGTTTTTATGGTCGTACCTGCTGCTCTTTTTGCAGAATTGAAATGTGCAAGTCACTGACCAGTAGTTCGTGTACTGTGTTTGCTGGTTCAAAGTTCAATGCGTGCATCAGTTGAACAAACACAAACTTTGTGCTTTTGTAAAAGATCCTTTTTTATCCTTCACAGGCACTCAGAACATTCAGCCGCAGAAGGTGGGTGTTTAAATGCATGTATATCTCCACAACAAGCTTCACACATTTTGTTTAACATAAGTTATTTCAGTTGTATTATTTCTATATTTCTAATTCTGGAATACAGAGGGTGCTGCTGTTCCAGACCGGTGTGATGGGATTGAGTTTGATGCCATCACTCCTGACGAGAACGGAAAAACTTTCTTCTTTAAAGGTTTTTACATGAAGCTTGAATCCCTTCACTGTATCAGCCTCTTTATAAAACATTTTCCTGACTTAGCTTTTAAATCAGCTTATTCAATTCTCCATTTATTTATGTCTGAGGGAATGCAGGTATGAAACAAATAACAGCAATGAATCCTTCAAACTAAATCACTCATGTAAACAGTAATGAAGCTAACTGAGTTCCATTTAAAAAAGGTTTTATAATATATATATATATATATATATATAAGTATAATAACAGAGTGTTCTCTCAGGTGCTTACCTGTGGAAGGGTTTCAATGGTCCAGCTCAGGTCTCCACTGAGTTCTTCAAGGAGATGGATGACACCCATAACAGCGGCCATGTTGATGCTGCCTTCCGCATGCACAGCTCAAAGAACCCAGAGGACCAAGATCACATGTATTTCTTCCTGGTACGACCGTCCCAAGTCTGTTAAAGAAAACAAAGATCAGATGGAGAGCTGTGACGTTTCTTTTCTAATCTGCAGGATGACAAAGTGTTCAGATATTACAACCTCACTCTGACGGCCGGTTATCCAAAGGATATCCAGGAGGACTTCCCAGGAGTCCCCTCTCACCTGGATGCTGCTGTGGAGTGTCCCGCTGGAGAGTGCATGGCAGACTCAGTTCTGTTCTTCAAGGGTGTGTTTGCATCCACTTAGACAAGAAATAGAAAGATTCATTATTATTTGGCAGAGAAATCTCAGTGTTGTAGAAAGAGAACACAACTAAAACTCCTACTGTTCAATCAAACATGACACCGGTTTATATTCTAAGATTTTTTAAGAAGTAGATCAGTCCACGTTGCAGATAAGTCATATATGTAAAAGATCCATGAATTAAACTCTGAGAAAAAGTGGAAAAATCCCCAAAACAATTGTTATCAAATAAAATCAGTTATAATTACGGTAGATACATGAAGCACGTGGTGGAGATGATTGAAAACGTGTCTCTGCTCCCAGGACATGATGTGCACGTGTATGACATTGACACAAAGACAGTGAAGACTAAGACTTGGTCCCATCTGCCCGTCTGCACCTCTGTGTTACGCTGGCTGGAGCACTACTACTGTTTCCATGGGCACAACTTCACCAGGTTCAACCCGCTGTTAGGAGACGTGAAGGGCCCTTACCCCAAAGACAGCCGCAATTACTTCATGAGTTGTGACAACTTCGGTGAGTCAACAAATCTTAAATCGCTTTGATTCAAGTATTCACTTTCTAAACGTGTCCTCTGTTTTCTTACTGCAGGGCACGGAGGAAAGTACAGAACCCCTAAATGCAGTGAGATCAAATTAGACGCCATCACCACTGATGACAAGGGCAAAAAGTATATGTTTGCAGGTATGACTCGTGTAAGAAATATTTCTAGTAACTTGAGCAAAAGGAAAAACTTTTAGATTGAAAACAAAGGACGACACCCGTGCTGCAAAAAGTCACAAATACACAAACTTGCTGCAGACAGTGATGAGGGAAATGTTTCCAGGGGACCCAAAAGAGTGATGGACTTGGCTGCTGCTGTTGGTGGTGATGGAACAGCTGCTTCTCAGTGCATTTTTGCTAAGCTAAGCTAAACTAAGCTAGGCTAAGATAAACCAAGCTAAGCTAAGATAAGACAATCCCCTGCTGAGCTTCCTGTTCTTACCACAGACACTGAGGGAGAGCAGGTTGTGCGAACAGGAACCAGAGAGTGCTGCTTGTTTCCACGGACTGAAAATACAGATGGACGACGTGTCTCCACTTCCTCCGACAATCAGGAAATGAAATGAGGCAAACGCCCACTGCACACCACGCCCACAAAGACCACACCCACACAAACCAAGCCCCTTTAGACACGCCCATGCACCGAGGAATTAAAGCAGCTGCAGAAGTTGAAGGTTTAAACTTTTTCATCCAGATTTTAAGAAACTGAAGTTGCAGCTGCAGAACTTTTTGCTGTGCGGGTTGTTTCCCTTTGCTAATGCAACGCTAAGCTAATCCTGCCTGTAGCTCCACAGTGCACGGACATGAGAGTCTTCCAGTCGAGACGACGTGAAGAATCATTTTAAATGATTTCTATGTTATCCTCAGCTCATTGATTTCACTCACAATCAATCTGCTCAGGCCCGATCTACATGCGTCTGGACACTCACCGTGACGGGCTTCACGCCTTCCCAATCACCAGGATGTGGAGTGAGATGGTCAGAGGGGTGGACGCCGTCTTCTCCTACAGCGACAAACTGTACATGATTAAGGTAGAGCTTGAAGCGAGCGGTCACACGTCCTCGTGCTGTCCTCAGGAAGGTGTTGAAAGTCCTTTTTCTTCCACCTGCAGGACGAGGAGGTCTTCATCTACAAAGAAGGAGCTAACCACACCCTGGTTGAAGGCTACCCGAAGACCCTGAACGAGGAGCTGGGCTTTGAAGGACACGTGGACGCTGCTTTTGTCTGTCCCAATGAGCACTGGCTCTACGTAATTAAAGGTAAAATAAATCAAACTGTAAGTAAGTTTGACGATTGCCTGCATGTGATTAACAAACATCTCATTTTCCTTTCAACAGGAAAACAAATGCTTAAGATCGACCTCACCGCCACGCCCAGGGCGGTGACCGAAGATCTCCCCATTCCTTTATCCGACATCGACGCTGGATTTTGTGATTCAGAGGGAGTTCTTGTTTTCAAGGGCTCCCAGTATTACAATTATGACAGCCCCATGATACTGGCTAAGGGCAGAATGGCTCCTGTGCCTGAGAATATCACCCCAGACATGATGGGGTGTCATGAATAGGAGGCAGGAATCTGACCACACAACACAGGGAGACAGTGTTTGCATCAAATGCTGACATCTACACTATCATCATCAAAACCTACAGCATGGAATCATCTCGCCTCTTCACTGGAGGGTGATTGTTTGACGAATAAAATGTGGAAAGAAAAATGTGAGCAGTGAATCTGTCAGTTACAGTTATAATAAACTTTAACTAACTCCTTTAAACACACAGTAACAAGCTGCTTGACAAGTTACGAGTCAACATTTAAAAAGAAATCATTTCTATATATAAATATCTTTATCTCTCTTTTAACAGATTTGATGATTATTACGACGTTTTCTGTAAAAGATCATCATTTTTCTCTGGTTCGTTACTTTAACTTATTAAAAACTGAGCTCAACCCCAGGGAGATTCACAAAATCCTTTCAGAGTTTGGCCACTAGAGGACCTACTGCTCAAATGAAAGTGCAAAGAGCCCAATCAGATTCCCTGTAAACAGAGATGAGCTCTGTAACAAGATGAATTATCATTTCAGAAGGATCAGTCATCCATTAAATGTGCACACACCTGCATATCTACCCAATGTGGTGAAACTCCACTTAGTATTTTGCATTTAATACACGATGCACAGGAACCTGCCTTAAACTAGCTGCAATGCAAGTTTCACGCAAGTGTGGATGCAAGCTCAGTGAAAAGTGTCCATGCATGAGCCTCTGCAACACTGGCCCCAGTTTAGATCATACATCATTCCTCTAAAACATGTTGCAGCTGAATGAATCAGAGTCACTGGGAGCTTGTGTCTTAATTCAGGTCAAAGTTCATGATCTTAATTTAAAAATTAACACAGTTTGTACGTTTAATGTGAATTACAATATGTCTCCAAACCTGGCCTTGGTGCAAGTTGATTTACTGAGTGAGTCCTGGTCTCTCTCATTATTATAACATACAGTACTTTCACAACCCGTCATATTGGAACACACAGACACGTACGCAGCAGCCTGCAAGAGTCCAGAGGTCGGGACGGTATTAGTCTGCATTCAAGGCCTTTTCTCTCCCTGGAGAGGTTTTGTTCAACCAAAATCCCCGGGACATTGAGCAGAGATAAAAGAAGAGCTGGCCTCAGCACAGCCTGATGGGCGAGGCCATGGACACACACACACACACACACACACTGGAACACACATGCACATAGAAACACCAGTGCACGCACAAGCATGCATAGCAGACAGTATGGACAGTTCTCCTCGTACACTAACAGCTATCAAGTAATATTGATAAATGGAGCTGAGATCTTTCCAATATATTATCAATCTAATCAACATGCATTCTTTTATTTATTGTATGTAAATAGAGCGTAGAGAGTTTGAGATGTTTTTTTCAGAGAGTAGATCCTGAGATTTTTATTTGTTTGAGCCCAACAGATTTTTTCTTGAGTTATTTCCCAAGTGGAGAACAGAACTGTTCTTCATTTGAGAGACGGCAGTGAACTGAGTGAATGGTGAGGTGTTTCCTGCGGGCCGACAGGATTCGGCCTGAAGTCGCAGTCTGTTGTGTCACTTTGATGAATCGCTGATCGAATGGTTTAGATTTTTTTGAATCCACACAGAAAACACTGAAAAAAAAACCCAGTGTGATACAAAAAGTTTATTCAATAACAGTTCTGTAAACATCTGAGGTAAATGAACATTTACATCAACATGTTCTTCAACATAAGGTTCCGACGCAAGGCACTTCTCTTCAAAGACACTTATTTTACAGTGGGAGTAACAGCGGGGGCTTGTCCCAGTTTGTAAAAAAATCCCACCACACAACATCTGTATTCCAAAGTGTTTAAGTCTCCCAATCCATTTCCAGTACAGAAAACTTTCTTGTCCATTCCAAGTGTCAATCCCATTGTATTATTCCCATGAAAAAACACAAACATGTTAAAATCCATAATATCCTTCCTCCTAGGGCACTATTTGTTATTTTTTCTTTTCTATTTATATCTTCACATCTTCATAACAACGCCCCTAATCATCTAAATGTGCAAATCATTATCTACATCTTAAAAGTAAGAGGAAAAGCTCGGAACAACAAGATTATGAAAAATAATCAGCAATAAAAATAAAGAAAGTTTTGTTTAGAGACAAAGTTCAACATTATGTCTTTTTGTGGAAATCTCTCTTCACAGTAGATTCATGAAAATGTTGTAAAACTGATCTCGTGGTTGGAGCCATGATTGTTTGGGTTCGGGGGGGAAGATCTTCAAAAATACATGAAGTATAAAGATATATAA